GATCTCACAAGAGAACAAGAAGATAAAAACAGAAAGAGAGGTCGGAATCTTCTATTTATAAAATTCTAGCCTTCCTTTACGTATATATGGATAGTACCCTATTGTTTCTACGTATACATAGTTTTTCTTGGAGCTGTCCATAAAGTTTGCATGTGAGCTCTACAGAGAAAAAACATTAGAAAAGCTCAAACAAAAGTACTCCAAAGACCCTTGAATTTGAGCAACTACTATTCACATAATATGCAAACATATCTCATCAAAAACAAGGAAAGTAATATTATTTTATGGTTGTTATAATGGTGCATATATTAATCTATCTAACACAAACATATATAGGTCCCTGCGTCAAGCTCTACATGGAGGAAACATCCTCTTTAGGCCATTTCCAATTCTTTCAATTACAGTGACTTCTTTTGTCTCAATTATTTATGTGGTTGTCCCCCAAAAGCACTTTATAAAATTATTTAGATCACGCTAATTCTTTGTTTTACGGCTATATGGTTCTGTGAGATTATGATTGTTTTCTTACGTATACTTAGTTTCGTGTGAAAAAAGGTCTAATTAAGCACATGGATAAACAACAATTTTGGATTTAACCTGAAAATATTTTCCTTCAGTTTTGATAGTAGGAACCAAATATAATAAGAAAATTAGGGCAAATATTTAACAAAAACAAAATTATTTCATGGCTTATTTTATGAATCTACCACTATTGGTGTATATAAGTTTAAGTCTTTTCTAAGATTACATTCTAGATTTTTTAATCAAACGCACGTAACATTTCCAAGTTAATATATAAGAACCTCACTATTAGAATATTCACCAATGAGTTTAGGCCAGGTTCACGAGTAGTTTAATCGCTATGTTTGTAAAACATCTTTTTCTTTAACTATCTATTGTGTAAGCGAATGTTGTTACTGTTAATTGTTTCTTCAACATATTTCTATCACAAAATTTACCACCTTTTAATGTTCCTTTACTCTGTTCACATAAAGGCAACGGAATATATTGAGTAATTATTATTTCTAACGTAACCCCACCAAACGAAAACATTTCACCTTTTTACCTTTAATTTTGGGGGTTCGGGCCAAACCAACGTCGTACGTACATGTTCATGGAGAAAGGAATTGCATGATTGTGTTCAGTACCCTGCAATTGATTTTTGCTTTGAATTATTTGTTCTTTCAAAACAAAAAGGCATAATTTCCCATTTTTAGGTACAGGAATGGTAAAAGGGTTTCATTATTTGCTGCTTTTAGCTTATGTGGGTCGTGTGGATCAAGATAAGAATGTATCTGTTAGTTCTGTTTTGTTGCAATAAACTAAAGATATGATGCTTGCATAGAAGGGGAAAAAAGTTGCCCCTTTCTAGATCTGCTAATGCTTTGCTGCAGCCTTATATATGTTCTTTGTCTTCTGAAAAAAAAACTACTATAGTTAAATACTCATATACTAGTAAAAAGATATATTAATTAATTAATTAATTAATGAACGTAAAAGATACATGTATTATTATTTTTTGATTGATTTGATGTAAACACCACGTGATAGAGTAGATATGTGTTCCATAATAGCAACATTTGTATATTTTAGAAGAGAATATATTTCAAACTTTTGTTCAATGTGTTCAAATATGTATCACGTTTTGCCCCTTACTCTTTGCAATTGGCGTTCGCACTAATTGGGGAAACAAGAACAGGGAAATGGTAAGAATCTAAATCAGGTGCTAGTACTAATTACGTACATAGAAGCACAAGGCATCGTCTGATTTAAATATGTGAATATATCATTCTGGTACTTACTACGTATAGGAGTATTAATTAACAACGTTTTAGACGCACCAAAAAAAAAAAAAAAAAAGCAAATAAATAGCAGTGCAAGAATGTTGGAAGAAAAGGAAGAGAAAAAAAAAATTCTAAAAGGCTTGTAACTTTTAGGTAAACTATAAATCTAACAACCCCTTAAAATACAAAATAAACACTGCTATTTTAGTAGAGTTATAGACTGATAGCATCAAATAAGTCATGTTTCTTTGTTTCTATGATCTGTTTCTTGCAAACTTACTTTCATTTAGATAGATACAAATGATTATTACAAGATAATTAATTGAATTATAATGATCGATTGGTACTGACTGCTCTTTTTTGGAGGTAGTCAACAGCAATGGTGTCAAACAATCAGCAAAAGATATTTTTAAATCCAAGTTTTGCTGTCTTTCCTCTAAAGAATGTACTTTAACTAGTGGTATTATTCTAATTAAATGAATCTTGGACATATTAATTGAATGGGCTAGAAGCCATGCATACGCGCATGAAGACAATCGACCACTAATTACTTGTCAATTAGGTCGTTTTTAATAGTTTAAACTTTTAAATAAAATTATCAGTAACATAGTAAATGAATTTAACTCAAAAAGAAAAACTGACATTATACACAATGCAATGAGAATTTGCTGACCTCAAAATTAAATTGTCAAATATTTCCTAATTCTACATAGATATTAGCAATATACTCTTATATAGTCTTACATCAAGCTAATAAAGCCTCTTCATGAATCCTACCTAAAATCTGATTTACAACAGCTGCTATGTCTTCCACTGAACTCAACTTGCAGTCTTCTTCTACCTGCACATTCAACACCATATATAATCATTAGTACATGAAATTCCAGTATTCCTTTTAGCTTTAAGTTTCTAATTAACTCATATGTAATTAATTAATCTCCTCTATATATAGTCTCACCTTCAAACTGAGAGAACAGAGGACAAACTGATCAACTTTTGAAACATTGAGAAGAAGAACACTTAGCCTAAGGCTTTCAAGACCAGAAATTATTCTAGGAAGCAATCTTGGCCTCCTTTTTGACCTTATTTTCAGATTTGCATGATTTTCCACCATTGTCACCTCTATATCAGCGGTTGCTGCTAGCTGCTGGTTCCTATAATATTCATTCCCAGAACCTCCATTTTCACTAGTAGCAGCAGTCATAGTTGTGGAGTACTGTGGAATGCTGAAGAACTCAGAAAATGGAGAAGTTTCACCACCCATGACATTTTGTAATTTTTCATCATTCGAATGCTTCTGACCACTGAGGAATTGCAGCTGTTGCTCTAGCTCTTTCACATAGTTGATTGCACCACTAACAATTGATGCTTGATCACCCTTAATTATGTAACAAGAAAATCAATAATTTAGCGTCAAAATACTCAAGACTCAATTAAATAAATAAATGTATAATCTCTTGATAGCACGGGCGAAGATATATTTGACCAACCTTTGTCTAAAAATTAACTGTGTATATAAAGAAAATATTAGGTTTTAGATGTATATAACATATATTAAACATCTTTTGTCGAAAGAATATTTTTTGATTCTTTGAATACTCCGAGAAAATTCCTAATTTCGCTCCTACTTGTCAGCTTAATCTTTTTGATAAGGGGCACACAATTTAATAATGTATCAAAGTAGACAGAGGTGGTGTGTTTAAATCTCACCACCAACTATTATAAAAAAAATTACCATATCTTAAGCTTTTAGATATAATTCAACACAAAATATTACTAATAAAATAAACAAAAATAAGAAGAAGAATCTGACCCTTTGGACATAAGATTGAGGCATAAGAGTTCGGAGGACAGAGAGGTACTCATTCATCTGTTTTCGACGATTTCTTTCGACGGCAATGTGGGTCATTCTTTGACTCTCAACCTCTTCTTGATTCTTCTTGCTTCTTGTTCTTCTCCTTCTTGGTCTAGTTGTACTAGACATTTCAACTGGAGACTCCAATTGTAGCAGCTGATCTGGGATTGTAAAATTATGGTCTAAAACATAAGTGGAAGAATTCTGACCCCATTGATTAAAATCATTCTGTGAATCCACCAATAATGGAGGTGGTAAGTTCCAATTTGAGTAGTCCTCATACTCTTGTGCTTCTCCTACATTTTGATTATTCTCAAGATATTCAAAAGCCTCATTGTTGTGATAATCAAAACCAGAACCAGAGCCAGAGCCACCGTCCCAGTTTGCAGTTCCGAGCAAGGCGTAAAGATATTGTTGTTGCTGTGTTACAGCTTCTAGCGCCATTGTTAAACAATGAACTCAGTTTTTGAGTTTTGAAAGAGACCAAAAGTTAACAGAGTATCCGACAGAAATGTTACAAAATGGGTTTTGGTTCTTTTCGGGTGAATTATTTCACCTTTTAAAGACGTTCGAGTGTATATAGACCACACATGCACAGCACAGAATATTGCACGTGAAATTCTTTTGAACATATTCACATTTATAACCAAAAAAAAAAAAAGAAAAATAAATTTCATCATTTTACCTTCTTTTGTTTTCTTCCCCTGATGTATGAGATATATACCAATAGTTCCTGCGTCGAGCTATTGATAAATATATCTATTTGGATAAGGATACAAGACTGAGTAGACGAGTATTAGCTATTGAATGGTAGGACTTGTTCACATGGGAACTAAAAGTTCTACTACATTTTGAGATTTGGGTATAATTTATTTAAATGTATGCAAACATTAACGTCCTTAATAATTCCCACACATCTTTATTCTTCATCCAAAATTAAAACTTTCAATTTTACTTATTAGGAGTTAGCTTTCCAATTTCATTTCCAATGTAAAACTCTAAATATGTTGTCATTTAATTAGGGGTTAACTACACATGATCCTTCAATTTCAAATTAATGCATAAAGTAATTACATTATTTATTTAACGAATAAGTCACTTTTTGTAAACAAAAAAGTCACTAATTAAATTATGCCTAAGTGTCATAGGAGGTCATTAAACTATTTGAGTGATTATTGGTTACAAAGTATACACGTTGAGGCTTCGATGATCTAGTAATTTCACATGATACTTAAGCAAAGTTGAGTGACTTTTATTACAAAAATAATTTAGTGACTTTTTGTGATACATAAGCAACTCTAATAATCTTTTTGTTACAAACAATAATTTAGTGAATTTGGTGCAAAAAAATAAAAATTGAGGGACTATCCGATAAATTAACCTTATTTAATTAAGATGGCAACAACTTTTGAAATAACTCATCCAACGTGGGATTTTTGGAGTCTCCTTATATTTTCACTTCGATATTACAATTTGTACAACAAATTTACAGTTTAGTTTCTAATATTCTAAATACTCATTGTTCCAAAATTTTAATTTGACATTTTTCGAAATAAAGTTATTTTCACTTCAAATAAGTGATTTCAAGATAACTGAGGAGTAACTAACATGCTTGTTATATCTCAGAAAATCATTCTATGCTTACCCAAAAATCAAACAATTACTCCCCTTTGGCAAAGTGTTAATTTCACACCCCAAGCCAGCTTCTTTTTGTTTTTCTATATTCTTCTTCATTTTTCTGTTAAATTTTTAACATCTATTAATGACATGCCATTGATTTTTCTTTTCTTTTTATTATTTTAAATAAATAACTACTAAACAGCCTAAGCAATAGCTCACGTCAACTGCAAGCACTTTTTTGACTATTGAAACACTCTTTTTCACATTTCACATGAGGCTTACTTCAGCTTTTAATCATCAATGGGGAAGTACGTACTCGCGCCAGTAAGATTCCAAGTACATAGAAAGCTTTCTGCTTTTGTTAATTATGGCACACATTTAGCTTATGATTTCGTATTTGAACACATTAATAATTCAGGTTAATTAGTATTTTCTGCAAAATTGAAAACACGTTCTTTGTTATTGTCACGATCCTTGTTCAACTGCAAAGGTATTATCTGTTGGGTTTTAAAGCTTAAATGTAGCTTAAAAGAGGGTGAATGAAAAATAGAGAAAAATTAAAAATATTTGAGTTTCCCTCGTTGACAAAGGTTCCATATTGGAAGTGGAAAATATTTTGATGGGTATATATACAATTGCACTTCTTCTAGCTCTTAAAGAGTTAAGAAGAAGGCAAGCCTCGCGCCGCCGTCATCGCTCGCTAGGCTTCGGCTTGATTGATTAATTTTTTGGATCAAATTTATTTGTTAATAGTAAATATTAACAGAAATATTATTAAATATAAACGAAAAATTAATATTAAATCCAACGGAATAGTATATGCCCTTTATTTTTTGTAAAAGCCATCTAATTTATGGCCGTTTTGTTTTACACAAACAGCCCTTCTGAAGAGTTGCACATCTTCATTAAGGAAGATGTTCCTGTTCTGCCCGTCGAAACTCCAAAAAATGAACGCTTTCTCGTGACTGAGTCGTGGAAGCATTCTGATTTTCTATGCAAGAATTACATTCTTAGCGAACTAGAGGACGATTTGTATCACGTCTATAGAAATATGGAGACGTCAAAACAATTGTGGATAACGCTTGAAAGGAAATACAAAACGAAAGATGCCGGGTTAAAGAAACTCGTTGCCGCTAAATTTTTGGACTATAAAATGGTAGATAACAAGTCTATTATTACCCAAGTCCAGGAATTGCGAGTGATTATTCACGATCTCCTTGCTGAAGATATAAGTCAAATTAATACTAATGTTGAAAGTATTAATTATATTATTTCTACTAACAGAATTTTCATTGAAGGTCTTGTTATCAATGAAGCATTCCAAGTTGCAGCAATGATTGAGAAGTTGCCTCATTTGTGGAAGGACTTCAAAACTACTTGAAACACAAACGCAAGGAGATGTCCCTTGAAGATCTCATTGTTCGGTTGAGAATCGAAGAGGACAACAAAGCTGCTGAAAAGAAAGGCCGTGGAAACTCAACAATAATGGGAGCAAACATAGTTGAGGATAGAAAGAGGAAGAAGGCTTATGGACCAAAAAGCAACCCAAGCAAGAAGCGGTTCAACGAAAATTGCTATAACTGTGAAAAATCTAGACATAGATCTACGGATTGTCGTGCTCCAAAGAAAGACAAGAAGAAGGGTCAAGCAAACATGGTTGACAAGCACGAAGATGTCGATGACTTGTGTGCTATGCTTTCTGAATGCAACCTGGTGGGAAATCCTAAGGAGTGGTTGATTAATTCTGGAGCCACTCGCCATGTTTGTGCTATTAGAGAAACATTTGCTACATATGCTCTTGTTGGACCCGAAGAGACGCTTTCTATGGGAAATTCTACAACGACCAAAATTTAAGGATGTGGGAAGATATTTATGAAAATGACTTCTGGTAAGGTGGTGAATTTGAACAACGTCCTTCATATTCCTGAGATTAGAAAGAACTTAGTTTCTACTGGACTTCTTGTTAAGAACGGGTTTAAGTGTATTTTTGTATCCGATAAGGTTGTAATAAGTAAGAATGAGATGTTTGTAGGAAAAGGTTACCTCATTGAGGGCCTTTTCAAGATGAATGTAATGGTTGTTGAGAATAATAATAAAATTTTAGCTTCTTCTTACTTACTTAAGTCAAATGAATTATGGCATATACGTTTGGGTCATGTCAATTATAAAACCTTGTGGAAACTTATTAATTTGGAAGTATTGCCTATATTTGAATGCGACAAATCAAAATGTCAAATATGTGTGGAATCTAAGTATGTTAAACATCCTTATAAGTCAGTTGAAAGTAATTCAAATCCTTTAGACTTCATTCACATAGATATTTGCAACATGAAGTCAATACCATCTCGCGGTGGAAAGAAGTATTTCATAACGTTTATTGACGACAGTACTCGATATTGCTATGTTTACTTACTTAATAGTAAAGATAAAGCAATAGACGCATTCAGGCAATACAAAAATGAAGTTGAAACGCAACTTAACAAGAAAATCAAAATGATAAGAAGTGATAGGGGTGGTGAATATGAATCTCCTTTTGAATAAATATGTTTAGAATATGGAATAATTCATCAAACAACGGCCCCTTACACGCCCCAATCCTATGGGATTGCGGAAAGGAAGAATCGTTTATTAAAGGAGATGATAAACGCATTGTTGAAGCCGTTCTTACGGCTAACCGGATACTAAATCGAGTACCCCATAGCAAAACACAATTCATTCCATATGAAAAATGAAAAGGAAGGAAGCCCAACTTGAATTATTTTAAAGTGTGGGGGTATTTGGCAAAAGTGCAAGTTGCTAAACCCAAAAGAGTAAAATAGGACCGAAAACCGTTGATTGTGTTTTCATAGGATATGTGACCAATAGTAAAGCATATCGATTTCTGGTTCATAAATAAGAAAATTCCGATATTCATAATAATACGGTTATAGAATCAGATAATGCTAAGCTCTTTGAAAATATATACCCGTATAAAAAGGAATGTGAGTCGATTGTTTGAAGGATCTGAACGACCTCGGGAATAAATAAGAGAAAGTACATTTAATCAGGAGGATCCAAGACGTAGTAAACATCAAAGAATGTCTACTTCATTTGGACCAGATTTTGTGACTTTCTTATTGGAAAATGAGCCTCGAATATTTAAAGAAGCTATGTCTTCTTCGGAATCATTATTTTGGAAAGAGGCAGTCAATAGTGAAATAGAATCCATATTGAACAACCATACTTGGGAATTGGTTGATCTTCCTCCTGAAAATAAACCTTTGGGTTCTAAATAGATTTTTAAGAGGAAAATGAAAGATAATGGCACTATTGATAAATATAAGGCAAGACTTATAGTCAAAGGGTATAGACAGCGAGAAGGTCTTGATTATTTTGATACATACTCTCCAGTTACAAGAATTACGTCCATATGAATGTTAGTAACATTAGCTGCTGTTTATGGTCTTGAAATTCATCAAATGGATATTAAGACGGCCTTCTTAAATGGAGAGTTGGAGGAAGAAATTTACATGGAACAACCTGAAGGGTTTGTGGTTCCAGGTAAAGAAAAGAAGGTATGTAGACTTGTTAAGTCTCTTTACGGACTAAAACAAGCACCCAAACAATGGCATGCGAAATTTGACCAAACAATGTTGTCAAATGGTTTTAAGATAAATGAATGTGATAAATGTGTGTACATTAAAAATATTCCAAATCACATAGTCATTATTTGCTTATATGTGGATGATATGCTAATAATGAGTAATGATATTTCCAACATAAATGCGACTAAGCGTATGCTAACTAGCAAGTTTGATATAAAGGACTTGGGAGTTGCTGATTTAATTCTAGGGATTAAGATCAATAAGACCCCTCAAGATCTGGCATTGTCACAATCTCTTTATATTAAGACAGTACTTGGAAAATTCAAGCACGTAGGGTTTAAAGTTGCAAAGACTCCAATTGACGTGAATTTTG